CAATTTTAATTTTACACAGTATAAACTTGGCTTAGGTCAGCTTAACTCGGCTAGTCCAAAATATGAAAAATAATAATATAATAACTACGAATCAGAAGAAATATGGTTTAATATGATCCTTAATGTAAAACCAGCTAGCTGTGAGGTAGTTTGGGAAGATTCTCAAACAACGGTCTAAAACAAGCTCTAAAATTGTGTTGGTAAAAAATTCTAATATCCCGCATACTACAAGAAAAACTCCAAATGCCTGCCTTGTTGAGATCACAGGTATTTTCTCTTGAAGCAATGAGTTAAGCAGATATAGCCTGGTCTGCAAAAGATCTCACCAGATGGAGCGAAAGTTGAACTAACACAAAAGAGGGTATCCCTGTTTTTCACTTTCATTCTCACCTACAGATACCTGATTACATGTCTTAAAGTAAACGCTTGCCTTCCTTTGTCATACAGAGGTATCTGTTTACAGGAAGCCCCTCACAGAAGTACAAACCTCTGAGAATCTGTATCTAAATAATGCCGGTTTTTCTCCTTTACCTAGGCAAATAGCAGATAACATCCTCACCTTAAAAAATCAGAGGAACACTATCACAAGGTCTTGGAATACTTGAACTTTTACAGGATTTTAGAAACTGCATTATGAAAATATACAACTATTTTCAACAAATAAACTGTGTAAAAAGCTTGCATCTTTAATGATTTAAAAATATAAAACCTTTTTTTCCCCCAGAAATGACTTTATAAAGTAAATGTTAAAATTAAATTATTAAACCTCAATACAGATTTTTAAAATTATAATATATGAAAGTCTTAGTCTTATAAGGCATTCATACAAAGTAGTATTTGTATTTTTGTTTTATATTTGCAGGATAAATGCTTGGTGCAAATAAGAACTTGATCTTTTGTGGTCAATAGTTTACAGAGGTGTACTAAAAATATTTTTAGGAAGGTAAAGGCCAGGATGTTTGAGTACAATTCATTACAAAATAAGCAAAAGTTAACCTTGCTAAATCTGTCATATTGCATTAAATCTGTAAGGTTACCTTTTCTGTAGCCAACGCTGAAGCCCCTGTGGGCCACATGGCGGTCTGAATGGAAGATAATGGACATGACATTCCAAGAAGAGGTAAACTGAGGTGGGGAAATGTCACCGCAAAATATCCCAAGGAGGTTCCCCTCGTCCTCAGATATGCCATTGTATATTTTGATATAGTCATAAGCACAGCTGGCATGGTACTCCAGCTCAAAATGGTGGAAGGTGAGGAGGACAGACGAACCCTCGGCCACCACGATCAGCCAGGCGCAGTCAATGTTGTAGGGATACAGACCTGGAAAGTTTGGACTGGAAATGTTACCCGATGGAGCAGAGAGGATTCCTCCACATTTGACACCTAAAAATGATAAAAACATTTTTATTTCAGTTCAGAGCAAAAATTATAAGAAGCTTTCTGTTTATTCCTGACTGATGTCACTATTTTCTTGCAGTCTGATATCCATGAAATTGTATTACACTATTGTATTACAATATGACTTTGAACAATGAAGGTCCGGCTTTATCTGTATATATAGCCCTGGCAATATGAAACACTCCTATTAAATCTAAACAGTGTTCCATCAGGATAAAAAATGAAAACTCACCTTTTTTAGTATAAGCCCTGTCAACCAACAGTAGTAAATGAATCAGTATAGCCACCCCGAGACTCATATTGTTATTGTGGATTCCGCTTTTTTCAAAACCTCGACTGCTTTTCCAGCTGAGACACACAACTGTAATGTCACAGTGCACCGCCTTGAGGTAATAGGACTTTGAAAAATTCATCCATCCCCTGAATGGGGGAACGTGATACCTATCCACCCACAAGCTGCACTTTGGCTCCTTTGCTAAATTTTAATGACCGATATCCAATGAGCTCTAGATGCTTGTCAGGACACTGTTTGTATAAAGGTTTTGCATTTTTAATGATGGTGAAATACACACAAGAACTTTCAGACGCTGAGAGAGGCACTGATGAAGCTATGGAAAAGAAAAGGTATTAAAAAAGTGCTCATGTCAGTTACAGTGAAGAATAAAAAAAATGTCTCTGCTGAGTTAAGATGCTCTTAATCATCACAAATAATTAAATTGTTAAAACTGTTTTAGATAAGTCTTAAATTGATGCTTTTTTAGCTTTGATTTAAATAAAGGTAAAGAATCAGTATTGCTTATAACAGGATGGAGTGAATTCCAGCGTTTGGGAGCAGAGCGGGAGAAAGCTCGGATCCCCGCAGCGATGAGGCGGGCAGGAGCCCTAGTAAGGTGGATGAATTATTGATTATTGATGATCAATTGGCAATAAAATAGTTATGAAGCTGAAAAATTATGCTTTTCAAGTAATCTAACAAAAATAAAATCTAAACTTTTCAATAGAATTAATCAGGGGTTACATTATTCCAAAAAAAAAAAAAAAGACTATCAGGACTGTATGATTCCAGGATTTTTGCGATAGAAAATGTAAACCATGCAAGTAAAATTATATTAGGTCGGAGAGAGTAAAGAATATGTCTTGATAAAAGGCAGCAGCTGTCAAGCAGATGATGTGCCTAGATTCTTGAAATTAGAGCTTCTAACTGATGTTTGTAAATTCTATATTCCCGCACCTAATGAGCATATGACAGAAATATTTAGCCTTTAGCTAGCACTTTTTTCTCTAGGAAAGCTTTTATTAAATCAGTGGCTCTGCACCATCATCTGCTCTGTGCTCACGCTGAAGTTGTGCCTTGGTGTTAAGTGTGCCACATGTGGTATACGTGCATGTTGCTGTCACCTGCGCTTACACCAGGAAACTGTAGTCCTTATTTATACAAATTAAGTAATGAATAATGAATGTTCAAAGTGTAGTAATGACTAACTTGTCCCAATTGTGTAGACAAGGCTTTGGACATGAACACAAGCAGAGTGGGAGGAAATTCAATTCATTTCAATTAAGTTTATTTATATAGGACCAATTCACAACACACATCATCTCAAGACAGTTTAAACAGACAATACAGTCAGATTGGTTAGGAAAACCAGTTTATTACATCCACTCATCGACTTGCAAGAAATGCTCCTCCTGGATGAGCTTTTGGCAATGATTTCCACTTGCATTTTGTTGTTGACCCTTTACAATCCCTCACGCCAAGCATGCATTTAGCAACAGAGGAGAGGAAAGCTCCCTTTTAACAGGAAGAAACTTCCAGCATAACCAGGCTCTGTGTGATTGCCCTTCTGCCGATGCCAGGACATTGCCAAGCAGACAAACTCCAACCTATTCTCTTGTCATAAGGATGAAAGACATTACATACAGTTAGAAGATGATGGATATTTCATGAATGAAAATATGCAGATCAGCTAATGTTGTTGATGTGGAAGGTGAATAAGAGTGCTTTCAAGGATGACATCAAGACTTAACCTGAGAAAAGGCAGAGATGGTGGAATAAAACTGAATTAGTTTCTACCAGAAGGATTTCTGTTTTGCTGCAATTGAACTTCAGGAAGTTACAGATCAACCAGGCTTTGATTTCAGCAAGGCATAAGGTAAGGGATGAGGGAATGAGCTTGGAGTTAGGCTGACCAGATAAAAAGAGTTGGGTGTAATCTGAATAACATGTTCATAATGTTACTAATGCTATGAAAAATTCTTTGTGAAATCCTCTCCGGAGATTCTAAGAAGATCCTAGCCTGTTAAGATTCTTTAAGCCCTTTGCTCTGCTGCTTTTACTTCAGCAGATAACGACAGAATATATTGCACTTACCACAAAAGACTCATATAAGATATGGTGCAACAGTAAAGGACTTCATAAGATGTACAATCTGACTGTTCCTTTTTGTAGACAACTTCCCAATTGCATCTCTAGTGGTCAGAGTCAACCAAAGAGCAGATCTGCAGATGACAGGACTCTATCTTGTACTGGGATGTGGGATGTCAGCTTCTCCAGTTGTCACTTGAATTGACTTCTAGAGCAACTACTTAGGATGAGGATGAGGAGAAATCCATAAAAGCAAAGCGCCAATGCAGGGGTGGAAGATGAAACATTTGAGGTGTAAGATGGAAGCTTTGGGTCAAAGGAGGGCAGGATGTATGTTTGATTGCGGGCAGTAGAGAATGATGCAAGCTTATTTCTGAGCTGGACAAGATGTGTTCAGTTCATTGGCTTCATCTGTCCAGACTCCCATTGTCCAATTCTCCTTTTGTTAAATGTCTCTGATCCTCCTAGTCTGTGACCATACATCTCTGATATTGTTCTGCTGGAGCTTGCTTTCAAGATTATTCCTGTATGACTCCTTGCTTTTTATTATCTTGACATTAACTTGCCTCTGTATACGGCTCAATAAGTCCCTTTCTCCCTACCTGAAGGCTCTTATTTTCTGGTTTAGCAGTTAATTCAGATAATTGGTGATCCAGGGTTTATTATTTGGAAAACACTTCACTGTCCTGATAGGGATGGAGTTATCTACACAGAATCTATAGTCACAGAATCCTAACACCAATGTCACCTAAAATGTGGGTGACACTTCTTCAGCTTGCTGTCACCATCTGCTTACAGTTCTCTTAAATGCAGGTTGCTTCTCATGAATAGGCTTTTACTTTGAACAGTATAAAACAAAAGATTTTCCACAAGGAGGTCTTGATTTAGAAAGGTGTCAGTCTTTGACATTTCCATAAAACAAGTCCACGGTTTTCTTTCCTCTTGAACAGCAGCTGACAAAAACTGTTGGAGTATTGGGAGTGTAGTAGAGAGTAAAACAGGATTAAAATCACAATTTATTTCCACAGATATATTAGCAACAGGAGAACTGATAAAGTCATATGCAATGTCAACAAAACAGAAGGGTGGAATGTAAACAGTTATCAAACCAACACTGGTGAACTCTCTGGATAAATAACAGAGAAGATGAGAAAAGATGAGAATTAAATATCAGCAGTTCGATATCTGGACTACAGAGATAAGAATTTACAATAACATTTCCTAAATGACACAATCTGTTGTTCACAAACACTGCCGCCTCACCTCCCTTAAATTTTCCAGCCTTCATTATATCTTATCGTCAGAAACCCTGACAGAGAGGCAGTGGATTCAGGGATATGATCCTTTAGTAATGTTTCAGTAAAACACATTATACTTCATTCCAGATATTCTGGCTGTGTCCTTGCTGTGGCTTGGAGTTTTTCAAACTTTTTTCATAATGATCTCATAACGTCCATAATGATTGATGAAAGAAATGGCTTGTATTTCCTTCTCCGTTCTCTTTCCTTTGCTTCTATTCTGCATCTTTGGTGCTTCCTTTGTAACTAAGCTGGGACTTGGGGAAATACCTGAAATATTATTTCAGCTTTTGAGATGTAAATAAACTACTCCTAGGTGCAAGAAAAACAACTTGCTATGATTGCTATGGTTACACACCTGAAGAAATGCCCAAAAATGTAAAGATATTGGTCAAAATCCTTTGATTAGGACAGTATCCAATTCTAGAGGCAAAAAGCATTAGAAGAAAAAAAAAAACTTTTGATCCACAGAGAAACTGATGTTCTATAAAGAAAAAAAGAATATCATAATCTAGTTAGCAGATCTTCTCATACATTAAACTACCTTTAGTGCAATCAAAATAATTTAAGTTTTGTTTTTGTATTTTATTTGGTGTACCCATGTTTGGCACAGTTAGTTTAATACTTTGCATTTGTCTCTACAGTTTACACCTTGCACATTTCCAGACCAATATCATTACTCTCAGCTATTTTATGAATAAAGCTTTAATGCCCTATCAGTTTAGGTAGAGGGCCAATATCTTGCTAATGTTTTCCATCCTTTTTCCATTTTCAATTCATAAACTGAACAGTATTCTGTGAGATGTTTAAAGCTGGGGCCAACTTTGCTTTTATTACCCACTAATCCTATCTAATGAAGATAATAGTCACTCATATACCACTAAAATTATACTAAGATTAATCATTCTCTAACTAGGTGAATTTTTAAGGCAGTTGGCTATGCTGGGTTTTATTTTTGATAATAGATTAAAGGAGATTTTGTGCTTAAGCCACATTTTGGGGATATATGAAGCCTTTTGAAATCAATGTATTTCCTATTCACTTCCCTATTATGCACAGCTTTTTGTTATCACATAAAATGTAAATAAATAGTTTTAAATTCACTGTTGTAGTGTGACAATATTGAAAAGTACTAGGGATATTAAAACTTTCAAAAGGGCCCTGTGTGTAAATTATTCCTTGTTATGATTTCAGCTCCTTTTTAGGAATTGCAACATTATAAGAAAGGTCATCTCAGACTAAGGCACCACCTTTTTTAAATGCACATTTTGTTTACATTCTCATTTCTTATTCTGAAAACAATACTGCAATGACTTTTAGACGGATAGTTTCTTGTGTTTGCCAAATGCCAGTCCCATTCCATGACTCACTCCCCTCTTTCGCAGTGTTATAGCTCAATAGTACAGATAGAAGTATGTAATAACACTGACTGAATGGGATGTATGAAAAACTGTGAGATAAAGCACTCTTAGTGAAACCAGACACTGCAAATGAATGTTTGCTGTGAAGCACTGCTGTGGAGGCAGAGCTTTTAGAGTGTCATCTAATAGCTTTGGTGTATCTCTTTTAATACCAGCACAAAACTGCTAGATGGCGCTGTTGCCGCATACCAACAACGTGATAAAGACACTGCAGGCTTCCCAAATATCCAACCCAGCTCTAAGCTGAAATAAATAAGAATGTGATTAAAATCAGTCAAGTG